CTTAATTCAAGCAAACATCGATATTAAAATAAATATACAATAATAAATCCGTCACAGAGGAAAGACAGTTAATCAACAACACCCACCGCCAACTCTTGAGCTACTCTTGTTTGACAGAATAGTGAGAACTGACCGTCACTCTTATAGCTCACTCATGACCAAAACGTTCAGAGCGCGTTTTTGCGGCAACGACCCACAAAACATAAACTTCAAATTACTGTTTACTGTTTGAAGTTAAGCACAATGCTGCACAAAGGGTATTGAAACCCGGTTTCTAGTTTTGTAAGTCCGCAAACGTACCGCTGTGTCACTGGGGGCTAAACTCCAACACTTAGTTGAAACGCTATCCATTTAAATAAAACATTACACTGATTAAACGTATTTCGTTCAAATATTACACTTCATGACTTCTTTTTCGAATATATATTTACGTTTTCAATATCAATCGCCCATTTACGTTAAATAAATAGGACAACTTAACAATAACCTCTTTATAGGTCAATTGAAGGATAGGTTTCGATATTTAAGTATTTTATACACACGGTGTGTGTGTGTGTATTATATATATATATATATATATACAAATTATACAGAAAAAGAAATATCAGCTATAAATAGAAACTGTAATTAAATGACTTCTTAGCATCATTTTAATATGAATATCCTTATTTGTATAAGTTCAATCTTCCATTAAATAAACTACAACAGATCCTACAATGAAATATTGTGAGGATCAAGTGTTAGAAGGAAAGATGGATGGAGTACAAAGCATAGTATCTCATTCCTGAGATTAGAAGGTAAATCGTATTAATAACACACATTTCTGAAACATGGGGAACAATCTTAAATTTCATTGCATCAAAATAGTTGCTTAAATTTCAGATTTTTAAAAAAAGAGTATTCAGCTTATCCGAGAACTTTTACTGTTTCTATAACATCTAGCTGTGTGTGTTTCTCAGTAATGAGTTTAAGATTAGTGGTATACCTAACTTCAACTTGTTTTACAGTAGCAAACTAATCTGTTTCTCCCTCGCAACTTTTTTTTATGAAAATCAACCGCCATAGTTATTTTTCTCAAATATAATAGTAAAATCTTAAAAGTTGATCAATTTTGCTAATGTGTGTAATAACATGTCGGTTTTAGACTGGTCCCTAAAACGCATAAAAGATGTATTCAACACATCCATGCATGTTTGTAACAGGTGAGAAAAGGACAATTTAGATAGGCCGATTTTAGTATTAAGCACATAAAATCAAGTACGATGCTAGACTAACAATGGAGAACGTTGTTTTTAAATTTATCTCCTGTTTTATCTATTCTCGCTTTACTCAAGTAAAAGCCTTTAACAACATCAAAGTGACGACGAATTTTCCAATCTAGAGAGACCGTCAATCGTATGTTTTGTTGAATATACATATTTTCTTCAATTTTATGTTAAAAACATTGAGCACAGCTAACAAGTTATTTGATAGTCCACGAAGGTGTAATTTTTAATTAAAATTTTAGCTTTAGATATACACCTAAATAAATGCTTTTAATTACAATATTTTAAGAAAAATAATCGCACTTATTTAGGAATAGGTTTATGGTACTATTAACCTAGTCAATCAGAAAATAAACTCAAATACGCTCACGAGTAATAATGATCCTTTTAATTTAGACTTCCAGTTGTACTACTTATGTATTGTATTTTAATGTGTCAAATATATCAAATATATTCACGGTGTATAAGAATTTCTTACCAAAAAAGTAAATTATTTAAAATATGTTTAATTAATATATTTGATGCGTATGAAAGGTTTAGACTCCCCTGACAACACGATATATATTTACTGCAATCTTAACCACACCGTGAGAGCAGATCAAATGACAAATATATAGTATCATCTGATTAATTTATCAAAACAAACACGGAATATTGTCATTATTTTTCTATTGAATTTATATCGTACACAGTTTACAAGGCTGTATTTTATTTCATTACGATGGCTTCATAAGGCTTAGATTCAAATCAGGATAAATTCCATACAATTTCTTTTTGAAAGGATGTTTATCCAAAATTACAATTTAGTAAAAGTAATTAACTTTGCTTTAAGGCTATTGATTTTTGAGTCTGTTTACAACAAACACAGATAGATTTCAATTCAAATTGACGATAAGATATACTGTAACATACAAGGTTAATGCTATTCTTTAATACATTATGAATGTTCTTCACCATAATTTCTTTTCATTTTTAAATCCTGGATAAAGAAGGAAAAAAACATGCTTCGAAAACTAACATGACTAATAATTATCTGATTGGGTAAGAATTAAAGTATGATTAAAAATGAGTATTATAAAGAAGGATAAAAACCACCACGTGCTACTTATTCTATTTTAGTCTCAAAAATCTTTTTATTATTAGTTATTTTCAAGGTTTTGTCTGTTATGTTTTCAATGACATTATATTTTTTGGGTTTATTTTATTTCAGTTTCAGCTTTGTTTTTTCCTCAAAGAGTCGTCAATGTCACAATACCGCCTGGGTATCCTAAACATGTTCCTTTCTACCAACTGCGTTGTGTTGAAGAAAACGGCAGTATTATTCCATACGGAGCCGTGAGATTCCATGTTAGAAAAGTTTTTATGCAAAAGGAAAAAATAACCGTTAAAGATATTTTTACCGTTAACGCATCATCTGGTTGGCTGGCATTGGCTGTAACTCTACAGAACAGATGGGCAGTGCCAGGTAGGTTGGAACTATCCCCTCCCCCCTCACTCTCCCACCAGTTCTCAATCTGCTCGTATTAATAGAATTTTAAACCACAGATGCACGAGATTCATTAGATACCACGACACAAGGACTATATTAATGAATTGTGTTATATACTGCACTTGAATTAACTTAAAATACACAATGATATTACGCTGAAACATAGATTAAAACAATAAAAATGTATCTTACTACCACGTTCTAAAATTACGATTGAGATTAATTTATTTTCTTGAATAAAGTTTTTATTTTTATCTTTTTTTTTGTGTATAATAAAAATTTACATTTTATATCAATTTTTTTGTAAGAAGTTTTTTTTTCACTATTTAATCGTTTTTTATTTTATTGCAAAAGTTTTTCTTATGTCATATGTGCGAGTTACTTTCACTCAATTTTATGCTATATAAAAAAGGATTTCATTGGGCAACATTTTTTCTTCTGTACATTGAATCTATATTTTTGTTTATAATGCCCAAAAAATGTTTGTTTCGGAAAAGTTATTAATTCTGTTAAGTTAATAAAGTAATGTTTCACATTAATTTTGTTATTGCTTTAAATATTAATACTTTTAACGAATTACAAAATAATTATTTTATCTTCAAATAACTTGCGGTAGACGTTTTATTCATGCATAACATATGGAAAAAAATAATGACAGAAAATAATTATCAGTATATAATGTAAGATGCCAAACATGATATAAAAATGTTCAGAATTTTTTAAAAGTATACCGTTTATTTTTTTTTAGATTGGCTATATACTTTAAAACTAACATAATGTACATGTTATAGCAATGAGGCTACTTTGATGCAAGAAGAAATATTTAAACATGTTTAATAGGTTGTTTTTATGTTTAGAGGTAATATACAAACCACTGGAAGACGTACGTTATCCCAGTCATGGAAAGTTAACCCACTGACAAACTACATTATAATAACGTTTATGCTAAATATTATTGTATGTTCTCTAGATAATACACATATATTTATTTATATAGCTTAGATATATATTAATTTAAAGTTAGCAGTCCACATACAAGTTTCTTAGTTGTTGAGCGCAAAGCTACACAATGGGCTATTCGTTTTCTGCTCATCGCGGGTATTGAAATCCAAATTTTAGCGTTATAAGCTCACACAAAAATATAGATATTTAACATTATCTTCACGCATATGTATCCTATTTATTATTGTTTTTATCTCCATCATTCTCTCTTTGTTTAGTAAAACCATGCTTCTATCGTTCTAAAACATGTTGCTGCTAACAACATTCTCCAATTAATGTTCTTTCTGAAAGAGTTTATTTACGTGGCCTTTGAATGGTTTTATATTTTGAAGAACCTTGTTTTGCTAATAATAACTGCAAAAAATGTTGTTTGTAATGTTACTTTTATAGAGGTTTTATTCTAATAAATATTATAGTTATGATTTTCCGAAATAATTAACCAGGAGACTGTTAACTCTGCCAAATATTTACTTCAAGGAAAGCTACTTTTCTAACTGTTAACTCTGAAGAATATTCACACCAAGAAGAGAGAACTTCTGAAAACTTACCCAGAGTAATCCTTTTAACGATTTCATCTGAAAGCTATTGCTTTTACAAGCATTTACAGCGAGGAAGGCTTCTGTTCTAATGTTTATCATGAAGACGACTTCTTTCCTAAACGTCTTCTCCAAGGATAATTACCCTTCTAAATGGTTGCATAAATGATGCCACCTTCATCAGTTTTTATACTAAAAAATATTTATCCGTTTATGATATCTAAATTGAATAGACGTCTTTTTGTACATGATAGTTCTTGGGAAATATGAATAAGCCCGTGTTCCTTTCTATTATAGTATACCACTATAGTGTCTATAATAGAACATATATGAATCACTTTCCACCGGAACATTTTCGAAACCTTAAAAGACTTTGAGGATTGCTTTTAAAACTGTCAGAAACAGCCTTTACTTGCAGGAAGTTATTTCTTTTTTTACGTCTACTAATTTTCCGGCGACTTCATTAGTTGAGCAGTCTTGGCTGACAAAGTTGGCAGAATAAATGTAACATAACAGATGAAGATTTTTGTTTTTAACACAACGCTATTTCTTCCAATTAAAATTATTTTTACATACTCCAGCTCGAAGCACACTTAATTTAAAGCTGCTGTTCCCAAAATCTTCATTTCTAAAGCTGTTTATTTGTGGTTAAATGTAACTCAACCAATTCATGAACTATTTTAAAGGAAGAAAGTACGTTACAAATAGGTTTTTAATAGAATATAGCAAGGATTAAGAAGTGTGCAAAAGCCATCTAGGTATGCTTTAAAGCCGTATCTATGAATACGGGAATGCGATTTTATGCTCTCAATAGACGTTTTCTGATAAAGTTATGGCAAATAAAGCATTTCTTTTTTTTTAGTTTAGGGAGACAATAACGAACTTGAAATCTTTCAGTTGTAATAACTTTAAGTATGCAATTCAACCTGTTTAATGAGTAATGATCATCATCGTGCATCAAAAACTAAGAGAATACGTTAAGTTTATTTACAGTTTTTATTTTACTTATTGTTAATAGAACCTGTTAAATTTTGCAATAATTAATTAATTAACAACATGTCAAGTATTTCTCTCTTAGATTTCTGCATCTCTCTGAAATCAAAATACACAAAAATGAGAATCTTTTATCATTACGTTGTGAGGGTACCACTGTTGCAACAAGTTATAACAAGTTGTATTATTACAGTTTATTATGGAATCCTACCGCCCTCTGTTAATATGATTTTCTAACAAGATGTTATCAGTCGTGACGTGCATAATGGAGAACTGGCTCTTTTTTGTTATTTAATAACTTAACTCAGTTTCATACAAATTTTGAAGCTGAAGAAAGATCATTTTATTTTTTCCGTTATTCCTTCTGCAATTATATAAAATTAGACATATTTATGTTTCTGATTTTATAAGAACAGCTGTAAAAAGTATCTACAGTGGTTTTTGTTGTTAATTTGTCATTTTTATAATAAAGTGTCAGTAGTTTTAAGTTTATTTATACACTATTTTAATTGCCAAACATATTTTGTTATTTTCCTTCAGGAACAATATTTGCTCTACGAGTGAAAGCAAGCAGGAACGTATATTCCAATAGACCGTCCACGTCACAAACTATCAGGGTTCATATCAATGACAGCGAAGCCCTTTGCCATCCAAGAACAAAACTATGTTACTTTTCTTCGAAAGCGAAATTTGACTTACCAGAATCATTTCCTCCTGGTGTGAGTTTTGGTCAACTACGCCCTCCTTCTACAAGTTTCTTGTGTCCTGAAACTCAAACGGAGTACTGATTAGACCCCAGAACACATAAATTACAAAAGCTTTCTTTTTGTCAGTTACCACATCTATCACGTGGTTTTGTTTATAGGATAGTAAATGTTCAAATTAATGTTTTGAAAATGTTTAAATCTTATTCTTATATATGAAATATTTCACAAAATATTAGAACGTTACACTTGTACAACATATTAATAGTTGGCATTTTCCCTTTTTACACACCCCGATGGCTCAGTGGATGGTTTGAAGACTTACAACGCTACAAATCGTGTTTCAATACCGATGGTGGGCACAGCACAAATAACCCAAAACAACAATCAAATAAACCCTTTTCATCGCTTTATTCTGAACAACCTTGGGTTCACGTTGTATTTTAGTTATTTGTTTTTTAATTCTTATGTTGCGAAACTGTAATCTCAACCTACCATCTTCTACTTGGTAACGGTGTGTAACTTGTACGAAATACAGTGAAGCTGTCAACCAAGTGTTGTAATTATTCCTATCCGGAGAATGACGTTCTACAACGACCATGATCAACGTCTGTGGGCTTGTACGCTATACTTCTTGTTACTATGGTAACTGTCGAGCTATTAAATGCTGATTTACCCTCATAAAAGTTTATAATGTGTAATTCAAAAGGTTCCATACACGCATCACTAATGTTGGTCAGAGAGATAAAATATGTCTACTTATTTGCTTATTTCGTTAATATTGTATGTATAAGGGGCTGAGTTTGTACGGCGCAACTACTAATAACTTAAGGAAAAGTTTGTTTGTTTTCCTTCGAGAATGAATATCAACGAATGAGTTATTACCAGCAGGGGGGAAAAAAGAAGAAAAAATTGATTCAACTTTGTATATCGGTACAAATTGCGAGTTTAAATTCATACAAAAATCAATCAATCAAACAATCTTTACCTTTTTATCATTTTCATGTTACATGGCCAATCACTATATGTTTCCAAGTCGCTTCCTATTCGCGAGTTACAGATAAGAGAACACACAAGATAAAGACTTTCTTTAAAATATCCCATTAATTGTACTGTAGAAAATAAACCTAGTAAGGCAGTAGAGAGATTTACAAGTAATTTCAATTTACATACATCGCGTTAACTTGTTTGAAGCCTAAAACTAGTTAGGAAGCTTGACTCGCACTCTGAATGTGGCGGGTTCGAATCCCCATCCCACTAAACTTGCTCGCCCTTTCAGCCGTGGGGGCGTTATAATGTGAGAGTCAGTTGTTGGTAAAATAATAGCCTGAGAGTTGGCGGTGGGTGGTGATGACTAGCATTCCATCTAGTCTTTCAATGCTAAATTGGGAATGGTTAGCGCAGATGGCTCTCTTTTAGCTTTGCGCGAAATTCAAACCATGTTTTAGTTTCTAAATTTTCTATGCTAATTTAAAGTTGTACATTGCGCTCTCAACTTTATTTTGGTATTTATCAAGACTCACCTTTTAGTGTCTTTCGTTTTTACTTTATATTACGTTAGATTAAATATTGAACTATCAATCCACTGACAGACAAATAAATGCAAGATTATTTTCTGTGCGAAAATTTGTTATATCTCTACACAAGAGTTACACATTATATTTCGTGCTACGGTGCTTTGTGTTCGTTTAAGAACAGCGAATTGTTTTGCTCTAATGTGAATATGCAAGAAGAGGGATACAATAATGTGCGCAGGTTGGTGCGGAACTAATTCTACTAAAATTCGTTTAGGAAAAGCTAAAGAAACATATAATGACTTTTATTCTTTAAGAGAGGGATCCCCTTGGTATAGGTATTTGTGAAAGAATAGTTTTGTTCATAACACTTCGTATAGTTTTTATATTCATGTTCGTGAGAACAAAGTATACAAGCCAGCAGTTTGTCGAATACGAAAATAATTATTTTAAATAAAAACAAATAATTATATACCAGATATAATAGAATCATAACGTTACAGCAGCGTTGATCTTAATATGTCGAAGCATTAATGTGTTTTAGGCTGGATATGAACATTCGTTGTGAAGTGGACAAGGTAGGCCAACCAATGAGCTTAATGTAAGACTTAATCTTTTATTTCAAGTAGAAAATGTTAATAAAACATAAAATCTGATTAAAGTTTTATATAAATTAAATGAAAACTATAAAAATGTTACAGCTTTTGTTGATTTGACGTGGAGATTTTTTTATTCATTTACCAAAAAAGTACAGAGACCGTTTCTAAAATAACTCTAATATATCAAAATATGTCTTCTTGAATTGTAATTAGAATTGATTTCTTATAGATATTATATATTTAATTAGAGTTACTTACAACATCAAATACTGATTACAGTAAAAGCTTTAAATCCAATGCATTTTCTTTTTTCAGGAGAGGGTTTAGTAAACATAAATTCAAAACAGGAGTTATATTTAACATCACCGTTGGACGCTGAAAGGGCTACAAAGGAGACCTTTCAGGTGAAGTGCACGATAAAAGATTTGAAAACTTCTCGTCTTTATTCCGATACTTTTTCTCTCCACGCAACCATTCGAATATTAGATGTCAACGACAACGCACCTTATCTCCCAAAAGATGTCTCTACAAACGTTCATTTTCATGACACTGACTTACAACAGGTTAGCCATTCATTTCAATGATATCAAAGGTTTATTAAATGTTTTAATTTAAACATATACTATTTCAAGTGAGATATCATAATGTTATTTATATCCAAATAAAATATTTCACGAATTAAAAATATATTTTGTGCAGCATTTGCTGAAATCCAATTTTCAAATATGGGATTTTATATATAATTCTAATGGCCTTCGCACGTTATGCTAGAGGTCAACTGATATGTTTGTGTTAGTCATCAGATGGCATGCATTACTTTCCCAGATGGAGATTAATATCTACCTTGGAGAGCATTCAAGCATTCACATGCAGTGATTACAAACTTTTTTACATTATGTATTTATTTTTCTGGCATTTATTTATTGCATTACTTATTACGCATGCTAAAGACCAATTCGAATTTCATTTAATGGCCATAAGGAAGTAACGGTCTCTATTAGAAACAATGCTAATAATATTCTCTGGGTTTTCCCATGCACAGACGGATTTCAAAGTTGTATAATTTGTGTTTCAATTCAGGTAGCGTAGAATTTGTTCAGTAGAACATAATAGATTATTTCTTGATTTAATAAAACTATACAATATATATATATATATATACATATAAGATCTACAGTGAAAGAAAAATTCCTACGCCAGCCAAACTAAATCAAGAACATTACCATAAAAACATCAACAAGTACTATGCTACCATAATATTGCTTGTAGTAGTAGTTTCCAAAGAACTGAAAACTTTACTCCATCTACTGGTAGTAACAGATACGTTTTGAACTTAGAGTAATAATTGTTTACCTACATTCCATTGGCGATTAGTAAGCACGTGTTTTGACAAAGGTCCAGTGATATATATACTTCTAATTATTAATGCAATCATGTCTCTAAACTTTTTTCTTCAAGTATCCAGGAAGTTATGAATTGCTTAATTTGGGCTTAATTCTTTCCTACTCAACGACTGTGCTCGAACGGATGAAATACGCACATTTTATATTGGCCTTCATTTAATTACAACAAGTATGAAGCTGTTTAGCAGGCATAGTAAGTACGAAGATTATGTTTAAAAAATGAAAAATTGTTTGGTGAAGTGGTGAAAGATGACGTTTCGATGTACTTACGTAAGCCTTTATTAGATAAATTACTGATACAAATAAATCGAAATATCGTTTCCGCCAAATCAACAAACAAATCGTCTATTCAACTTTTTATTTTTAGAAGAAGCAGAATATTTAAAGCTGAAACACTAGTAGCTTGCATGTTGACTCAGTTTAACCACAGTTTACATGGAAGATATTTTAGCAACAGACGGTTTTAAGCACAAGGAAAATATGAAAAGAGAAAGCGAAGGTTTATCCGAACATGTTCGTCACATTCAATTGTTCTAAAACGAAATATGTTTTGTGACACGCCTAGAATAAACTGATTTTACCACATTTATGCACTATATAATAAACTGTAATACTTCATGACGTTTCAGGGAAGAGATCTTCCTATACAGTTCAACGTTTTCGACAAAGATTCTGAAGCGGTGAACGACATTGTGGTACGAGTTGAAGACGACCAGCTGGGCTTATTTAAAGTCAGAAATACGACCGTATACGACAATATTATGGCCAGCGGCGGCATGCTCTTAATATCTTGTATGTGAGACAACTTTTCTTATTAATTGTGATGAGTACATGTTGTTTATCATTGTTTTTGTTATAGTTATAAAGTCAGATATAACTGCTTCAAAATAGCTCCTTTGGCATTTGTAATATTAACATTAATATTTCAGTAATTTGAGTCTCAATTAGTATATTCGGAGATGAACTAGGTATGTGCAAAATATTTTTCTTTAAGATAAACCTTATTTTAATTGCTCATGGGGATAACTTTCAAAGTTGCCACCAGATAACATTCTATTAACTGAGCCAAGAGTACTCTTACAATAACAGCTCTATATATATATATACACATATATAGGCTAACATTAAATTAGCTTCCAATGCTGAGTGATCAATAATGTGTGTTTGAAGAAATGAAATAAAGTCATAAAATGAGTATGACTAAATTAGATATCACGTGAAGCTCAATCATTATGGGTTTTTTAATTAATAACTACTTCCACAGACATAACACAAACCAACATTCTCGTCAATTATTATCTTAAGAGTACTCAATACTGCATAAGAATATATTTGTAAATTATCTGTTGTAATGCTCTTTGATAATTATTTTGTGGAGAAGTAGTAATGTAAATTCTTAAAGCAGAAAACAAAAATTCATAGTGGAACTCTAAATTCTACTTGACAATTTACAAGTCGATATTACGTTAGGGATAAACTAAACACGTAGTTTAAAGGTTTCATATAGTCATCTAACAGTATAATCGTCTACTGCACTTATATCACTACCACTGATTTGATGCTTTTGTATTGTCAATGAACGAAGTTTGCGATTTCAAAGTATTTACGTTGCTTTAGTGGTTTAGATTGCGAATTTATTTATAATACAAAAAATATAATACTGTAATACTGTGATTCTTTTTAGTTATGAAAAGTATTTTGTATCAATTAGGATTTTTTATTTTGTTCTTAAATCGAAACCTCTTTATAGTGTTCTACAATATTATAATTACGAAATTAATCCAAAAAAATTAGCAAAAAATGTTGTCAGATTTCTTGACTACTAACTTCTTACGATAATTTGAACATTATTGTTTTTTTTTCATAATTTATCATTATATTTAATTATGGTGATTTGAATTTCTAATATATTTCATTCAAAGTTTATTCTTTCTTTCGCAAAGCCTCTGTCAATTAATAAATAGCTTTATCAATTCAAATTACTATTACTTATCGCTTCTCAAGGCTAACCAGCGAAGCAACATGGTTGGTATACCCACCGAACAGCAGAACAATATGGTTGGTATATGCTCCGGATAGTGAAACAACATGGTTGGTATACCCACCGAACAGTGAAACAACATGGTTGGTGTACCCACTGAACACTAAAACAACATGGTTGGTATATCCACCGAACAGTACAACAACATGGTTGATATACCCACCGAGCAGTGAAACAACATGGTTGGTATACCCACCGAACATTAAAACAACATGGTTGGTATATCCACCGAACAGTACAACAACATGGGTGATATACCCACCGAGCAGTGAAACAACATGGTTGGTATACCCACCGAACATTAAAACAACATGGTTGGTATATCCACCGAACAGTACAACAACATGGGTGATATACCCACCGAGCAGTGAAACAACATGGTTGGTATACCCACCGAACATTAAAACAACATGGTTGGTATACCCACCGAACATTAAAACAACATGGTTGGTA